GTTGGATTACTGTGAGAGGTGTCCCTGGCCGTTGACTTTTTCGAGTCTACACTGAGTCCTTTAAGGGCTTCAAAGACAAGTTCTTTAAAGTGTGTGCACATCCTAGTAAGGAGGTATGGTTTCTCCAAAACTGTGGTACCGAGGATGTAGAGGGAAAGTTTCCCTTATGTTGGTCATCTGATCATTTTAAATTCCCCCCTTCAAGCTACCGCTTTAAAGAATCCCAGTTGAACTCTAATTATGTTAATACCGTGATCGCCATTGGTACATACCTTCAGACGCATAAGAACGCTAGTGTTGCATCCCTCATCTATAAATCTCAAGAAGAGCTTGATGCCGAATTGAGTATGTTTAATTGCTAGATTGATATGCTTTGCTTATTGTATTGCTTTAACAATTGATTTTATCACTTTGCTTTGCAGTTCCCGAAATGGAAAATGAACAAAGCACTCTTCCTAGCTGGTTGGCCGCATTGACCAAGGGAAAGAAAGAAACGCCACCCGAGTTGTCGCAGAATGATACGTCCGCCAGGTTGTCGAAAAAGAGGAAGGTGGCGGAACTGAATCCGAAAAAGGGTGCTGCTGACAAATCAAAAGCCAAAGTAACAGAGAAAAAGCAAGTCAAGAACAAAGATAAGGAGACCCCTGTTGAAACTGTTATCCCTTCCTCTCCACGGCAAACGATTAAAACCCTTCCTGCTCCTTCGGCTTCTGGTTTGGCCAAGCATGTCGTATGGCAGTCCGGGTTGTCTGATGCTATCCAAACGGCAGTTTGTCCGCCTGATTCATTCTCCAGTCCAAGTTCTTTTACAACTGAGGAAATTAAGGTACTAGAGGGTTTGGAGCTTGACAACCTACAAATGTCCGGGTTACCGAGGCTTTTGGTTTCGTTTAAGCATAAGTATATTCGTGCCAATGAGCAGGCCGCTGCCTCTCGGGAGGAAAAAGCAAAAACTGTTGCCGAGCTCCTTAAAGTAAAAGATGATTTGTCCTCGCTGAAGGAAAAATATGACCAAAAGTCATCTGATTTGGTCAAAGCAAAGGATGATAGTAAAATGGCCTTGAAGGCCATAGAATGTGAGAGGGAAAAACAAAATTTTTCATATGCAGAATTACACATGCAATCAAGAATCATGTTTTATGGCATGTGATGTTACCTTTATTTGTGAGTTCAAAACTCCAAGACGATCAGTGTTAGGTTTGAAGGGTTCAAACCCTCTAACGTTGATCCACACCACCCACGTCAAGATGCAAGAACGCTTTCTTGAAAGCCACCAATTGACCACTACAGAGAGGCTTGCTATGCGCTCAATAGGTGAAGAAGTAGGCTAGGTATATGTGTTTAGAAGAGTGAAGTCTCCAGCATGAAAACTTCACAAGAGTGGGAATGGTATATAGAAGAATTGGCTAGGTTCTTTTGAAAAACCTTAAGGAGGAACTCACCAACTAGGCGCACAAGAGAGGGAGAGAATTAGTGTATCAAATCAGAATTTTTACTTTACTTATAATGAAAGTGGCGCACAAGTGAGTGAGTCAAAGGTGGAGTTGTTGCAATTCAAAAATCCCTACAACCTCCCATTTGAATTCTAATAAGACTAGGTCTTTATCTAGTCAAAATTCTGAACCTATGGTCATCATATGACCACCAATTCATGCGCCTCTATTCAGCCCAAAAAGGGTCCATATACATTTGAGCTGTTGCATTCAAGTTTGAACCAACTAGCTCACTGATTCTCTCAACAACCAAATTTGATTGGAGCTTGTTGGTTTGACAAGATGACAATCATCTCCCACCAAAATGGCGCCCCAAATCAGCCCTTGGAGATCTCCATAGATCTTCTCTTGATACAAGGGATTTGTTCCAGCAAGATCTCATCTTATCCTTTTGTTATGAAACAACTTTTCATAGCCAATTCAAATTCGAATTCAAACATTTAAATTGAAACGTTCAAACATTTAAATTCTAAATTCAAATTCAAATTTCAAATTCAAATTCAAATTTCAAATTCAAATTTCAAATTTCAAAATTCAAATTCAAATTTCAAATTCAAAATTCAAAATTTAAATATTTGATAATTAATTTAACTAATTAAATTAATTAGTAATGTCTTGGACCATCCAAGCCCATTAACAATACCATGCGCCCTCTCTCTTAGGTGGGCTTCCAAACTTCATCTTGGGCTAACAACCATTACTAGGCCCAATACCTTTAATGCTATATCATCATGACATTAAGGTGTTAGTGTATGACCCATTAGGTTCAACATAGCCACTGACATAAATGGGCTCGGGCCCAACAAGCCCACAACCCATTTAATGACAACACAGAGCACTAGCAATGCTTTGTTGCCCTAGAGCTAGTTAGATTAATGACTTGATCATCCTATTACACATATTTGGTTGCCGTATGTATTGCTTTTCGTCTCGGTTACCTTTCCATAAAACCTAGGGTAAGGAAGCGTATCAACCCTTGCGGTTTAGGGTAAGCTTTTTTCGAAATAGGGAATCTTCAATTTTCTGACTCTAAAGGCAGATCATCTCATGATCTCTTTTACTGTGCATAGATTCCCGAGTCCCTGTAAATGTCATCCCAATTTCTCCAGTTTACAGATAACCTAATCTCTCACAGAGATTTGACGAATTCCTTCAGCTTATCACCCTAGCCCTGTGCTCTTTCAGGACAAGCCCAACAGTATACCTATGAGTCTCCATGTTTCAGGCAGACGAGGTATACAGTCAAAGCATGCCTTCTAGAACACAGTCTAGGTAATAACTTCTGGTCTAAGGAAAGACATACCCAAATATAAAGAGACTACTCTAATGATACTCTCTGTGAGATTTCCTCATAGAGTCTCTTTTGTGGGTCTGTTCAGTGCGAGCTATACCCTTATAGATCCACCCACGACTTTTGCTAAGACATCTCCATATCTGTAGCTCATGAGGTCTTTACCTTGCATCCGAATACAAGTAGATAAGTCATGCTAGTCTTACCCGAGATCACTGATCCCCATTCTCAGTGTCTCTAGACTAGGAACATAAAATTAGGAATAAATATACAGTATCCTTGAATCCTCATGATCATAATATCATCACAGATACTCAAGAGATACCTATTTTATTCCAAGGGGTTTATCCAGTTACTCATATAAAATATTAACAGTAATATTGAGACAAAATATGAAACAGGATAAATAGTGCTTTTATTTATTTGCGACAATACAAAGGTCCACATATATCCTAATATAATTAAAAGATTGTCTCTAGGACATCCATATACTAACACAGGATTCCCTGACCCAACTTCGACGTGATCATGACCAGCTTCAACATCTTCATGCCAGCAATAGCAAGAGCTTAAGTGATTTCAAAATCACGTATGAGAAGGCGGAAGAGGAGACAAAGGCAACACAGGGAAAGTTGAAGGAGACCAAGGCCAAGTTGTGGGAAGCTTAGGATGACGCTCAACTCTATCGTGGTGAACTTGAAAAATCCATCACTGGTTCCTTCTATAATGCATTGAGCCAACTTCAAGTTCTGAACCCGGATTTGCTTTTGAATGTGGTTGGTTTGAATGCTCGTGCATATGTTAGTGATGGTCAAATTATTCTTCCGCCTACAGTATCTCCTACCAACGACTCATGCCTTCAGATTGAAGGGGGTGACCGTCATTGAGGAGGGTGAGGAGTTGGGCAGTCAACCACCTAAAGTTGTTGTGAACTTGGAAGAGACTGTTGCTACTCCTGCTGAATGAAGGTCCGGGATGCCGGTTATTTTTGTAATCTTCTTTTGAATTTGGGGTTCTTATGCCCCCGTTTGATTTGTTTTGAATATTACCGGTTTAACTCTGATTCCTAATTTGCTATTCTACTTTCTGTTTTCATATTCCGCCTTATGATTTGACGTTTGCATCTCGTTCTTAGTCGAGTTTCTCCCTAGATGAAGGATCTAGGCATGTTTCTTCATTGTAGTATGGCCTTGTTTTTGACAAGTGGCCTGATGCCTTTATTAGCGAAGTTCTTATGCAATTTTCACATTGCGAATCTTATCCGAGTTATCCCATTGTAGTTGAGGTTCTTCGGGTATTTTCCGGGTTGTGCATATATGTTTTACCCGAGTTTTACCCCATATGTATTGGGAATTTTTGCAACCCAGATAATTTTATTAAACTCGTACATTTTACGAGTTATACATTCGTGACCTGGCCGAGGTCAAAGCATTATACGGATTTCATTTTCTGTCATGTTTTGTGACGCATGTTTGATTGAACTTATCCATTCTGATAAGCCTGTATTAATAATGGCTTTCGTCGTTGCTGAATTAACCATGTGCTATAATTTGAATTTATAATTCAGTTTATCTAAGATAAAGACAACAGTATCATCTGTCCCTTTTGGTTTGTAGACCGAAAGAAGGAGCATTTTGACTTGATCAGAGTCAGTATGACAAAGTGTGCTTGTATCTCGGATGTTATGTTGATGCATCAACAATAGATAAGGATAAATCTTTAAAAGCAAAAGAAAGATTCCTCATTTATTGATATCAAATTGTTTGCTACATGAATTTGCCGGCATATTCGGCTTTAGTCAAATCCCTAATAGAAGAAAAACTTAAAACAAATTGCAATATTGGTGTTTGAAAGGTAGACTCCAGATTTAGATGTAGTATGTTTTTAGCTTATCCGCATTCCAAGTCCACTTGATTGCTTTGCCTTCGACTGTTTCTAGGATATAGGCTCTTTTTCCGAGTTTTTCTCTAACTCGATATAGTCCTTCCCAGTTTGCAACTAGCTTTCCATCTCTGGCATTCTTATTTCCAATATCCGCTCTCCTGAGTACCAAGTCATTTTTGTCAAAGTCTCTTGGCCTCACTTTTTTATTGTACCTGACTGCTATATGTCACTTGGCCATTATATTCTGGCAGTGAGCTGCAACTCGAGCTTCATCAGCAAGATCTAACTCGGCAGTGAGTAGCTTACTGTTCTGTTGCTCGCCTTGCTCGCTACTATTTATCTTCCTCCAAGAAGGTTCTCCAATTTCTACTAGGATCATAGCTTCGCAACCATATATTAGCCGAAAAGGGGTTTCCCCCGTTGCGGTTTGGGTAGTAGTTCTGTACCCCCAAAGAACAAAGTAAAGTTGTTGAACCCAGCTTTCTTTGGCATCAAACATTCATTTTTTGAGTCGTCCACAGTTACCTTATTTGCCGCTTCAGCTTGTCCATTTGACTGTGGGTGTTCCACAGATGCGAAGCAATGTTTGACTTGCAGGTCCTTCATCAAATGTTGGAACCTTTTATCAGCGAATTGTGTTTCATTATCAGTGACCACCTCAGCAGGTATCCTGAATCTGGAAACTATGTTTTGTTCGAAGAACCTTTGTACTCTTGCTGAGGTGATTGTTGTGACTGGTTCCGCTTCTATCCATTTTGTGAAGTAATCCACCGCTACAATCAGCTATTTTAATTGCCCTTCTGCAGCTTTGAAAGGTCCCAGCAAATCCATTCCCCATTTAAAAAAGGGTCATGGTGCCGAGATATAATTTAACTCTTCGGGTGGTGAAAAAATTAACTTGGCATGCTTCTGGCAACTTTTGCATCTCTTCACATGGTCTTTTGAATCTGCCTGCATTACCGGCCAGTAGTAACCAGCTCGAAGGGCCTTTCTAGCCAAAGCTTTGCCTCTCATGTGATGGCCGTTGATTTCTTCATGTATCTCGCCCAGAACATATTCTGCTTCATCCGCATTCAAGCATTTCAGCATAGGCACATGCAACCCTTTCCTAAACAGCTGATCATTCACAATTGTATATTGTGTCGCATCCCGGACCAACTTCCTGGATTCCAGTCGATCTTCTGGCAGTGTTCCTTTTTCAAGGTATGCCACTATGGTTTGTCTCCAATCACTTGCCGAGGTAATGACCATCACACAACTCGGCTTCATTAAACTTTGTTGTACCACCGTTCTGTGGTTGCCTGGGTTTTTGGTACTTGCCAATTTGGACAGAATATCAGCTTGGTAATTTTGCCTCAAGGAATATGAGTAACCTGTATTTCATCGAAGTCAGCCATTATTTCCTGAACTTTACTCAGGTATCTCATCAGCAGAGGGCCTTTGGCCTGGTATTTTCCTTCTATCTGTGAAGTTACCAACTGTGAGTCACTGAAGGCTTTCACCCTTGTAGCTCTGTGTTCTTTAGCCTACATCAACCCGGCTATAAGGGCTTCAAACTTTGCCTGATTATTCGAAGTCGGGAATCCCAAGTTCAAGGAGTGCTCTATGGTCACCCCTTTTAGGCTCTCGAGAATAATTCCTGCTCCACTTCCTTTAACATTGGAGGATCCATCTACGTAGACTTTCCATACATCTCTGGATTTGCTATGTTCCGGGTTCATTGGTGTTAGTTCCATTATAAAGTCGGCCAAAGCTTATGACTTGATGGCCTTCCGACTTTCGTAAGCTATATCATATTCACTAAGCTCAATTGCCCAGTTGGTCATTCGTCCCGCCAGGTCTGGCTTGTGCAACACCTGCCTTATAGGCTGATTGGTCCTAACTATTATTTGATGTCCCCGAAAATATGGCCGCAATCTTCTAGCCGTAATTAATAAAGAAAAAGCCATTTTTTCCAACTTCTGATATCTAACGTCTGCGCCTTGCAAAACTCTGCTGATAAAGTAAATCGGCTCCTGGCCTTTATCAGTTTCTTTGATCAGAACTGCGCTTATTGCTTCCTCCCCCACAGCCAGATACAGGATCAGAATGTCTCCTGGTTCCGGCTTTGAGAGCACTGGTGGAGTTGCAAGACACCTTTTGACTTTGTCGAACGCAGCTTGACACTCCGGGTTCCAGCCTTCTATTGCTTCCTTCTTTAATAGTTTAAAGAATGGGAGGGCATTCTCCGCAGACTTTGGTAAGAAACGGGTTAATGTAGCTAAGCGACCGGTTAGCTGCTGAACCTCCTTCTTATTCTGTGGGACCTTCATATCAAGTACCGCCTTGCACTTGTCAGGGTTGGCTTCAATCCCTCTGTGGGTTAACATCAAACCCAAGAACTTCCATGCCGGAACTCCGAACGCACACTTTGCCGGGTTTAGACGAATTTGATATTTCCTGAGTTTTTGAAAAGTTTGCTCAAGATCCTGGACATGGTTTGCGATATCAAAAGACTTGACAATCATATCGTCAAGGTATACCTCCACATTTTTGCCCAGTTGATCTTCAAACACCCTATTCATCATCCTTTGATAAGTTGCCCCTGGTTTTAAGCCCAAATGGCATCACATTGTAGCAGTAGTTAGCCTTTTCAGCAATAAAGGCAGTTTTTTCTTGATCTCTTGGGTACATTGGAATCTGATTGTAACCAGAATATGCATCCATGAAAGACAGGAATTGAAATCCAGCCGAATTGTCTACGAGTTGGTCTATGTTGGGCATGGGGTAGGAGTCTTTTGGGCAAACCTTGTTCAGGTCCGTATAATCGGTACAGACTCTCCACTTCCCATTTGGTTTTTTCACCATCACCACGTTTTCCAGCCACGTTGTATATTGTATTTCTCGAATGAACACCGCCTCTAATAATTCCTTCACGTGTTCTTCCAGGACTTGTTTCCTTTCGGGACCCAGCTTCCTTTTCTTTTGAGACACCGGTGAGGATCCGGGATAGACTGCCAATTTGTGGCAGAAGAAGGCAGGGTCTACCCCCGGGATCTCTGATGATCTCCATGCAAACACATCCGTGTTGTTTTCAAGGAACCGGATCAACTCTTGCTTGATAGGAAGGTCTATGGTCTTACCAATTCGTGTAAATTGACCGGGTTCTTTTCCCAATGCAAGATCTTCCAATTCACCATCGGGCTCAGGTCTCGGGATTACTTCTTCTCTCATGTCTAGTTCAACCAAGTTGACCGACTTATTTGAGTGTTGGGGAGTTGTGTTTTTGCCGAGTTTGTCTCCTGGGCGAATCTGGGGTGGACTCGAATGCCCACCTTCGATTTCTTTGACTGTGTCAAAGTAGCAGCCCTTGGATTCCTTCTGATCTCCCGCAATAGTGATTATTTCGTTCTTGCTACTCACCATTTTTATCTTCTGGTGCTTTGTAGAAACCAGCATGTCCCACTGGTGTATGATTGGTCTTCCCAGAATCACATTATATTCTGACGAAAAATCAGCCACGATGAATCTAATCCGTTCTGATTTGAACGCTTCTTTGGTTCCTAAGGTTAACCTGAGGTCGATGTAGCCTTTAGGAGGTGTATGCTCTCCATTAAAAGCTATCAGAGTTGTCTTGTAAGGTTTGAGGTCTTCCTCATCCAGGTTCATCTTTTTGAAAGCGTGCCAGAGTATGATGTGGGCACAACTCCCAGCATCCACGAAGATCTTCCTAACCCAAAAATTTACCAAGGTCCCCGCAATGACTAACCCGTCCACATGTCCCGGCATCACACCCTGCATGTCCTCTTTTGTGAAATACAAAAGGGGAGGATCCGGCTTGGTCATGTCTTCCTTGAACTTAGGACGGTCTCGAATGGAGAGTACCTCTTTCAAGTATTTTCTTCTAGCATTCACAGTATCTCCTCCACCCCCCAGGGCTCCACTAATTACATTACAATAAAATTCTGTTTTCGGGAATTCATCACGGTTGGAATTGTTTTTCTGATTTATTTCCTCCTTGTTTTTCTTTTCAGGAACCAGGATTTTACTTCTATTTCTGTTTCCCGCCTTCCTTTTGTTATTTTTGGCACCCTGGGTTTTGATGACGTATTGGCGTAGCCTTCCATCTCGAACAAATTTCTCCACAGCATCTCGGAGATCTCAGCATTGATCAGTGTTGTGCCCCGGTCCGTCATGAAAAGCACAGTATTTGGATTTGTCCAAACCTCCTCTGTCAAATATGGGCTAGGGTCTTTCCACCTTCTTCATCTCCGTCATTGCCACTTCTCTCCAAATTTGAGAGCGTGGCGTATTTAAAGGTGTATACGTCTCATATCTCCCTGGTACACGATCTCGGTTGTCCGGGATTCTAGCCCTGAACTCCTTTCTCTTATTTTCAATTCGTTCCTTTCCTTTCAGGGCTGGGCTTCTCCTTCTTGGGCTAATTCTTTTACCCTCTTCAGACAGCGCATTTGCAATCTCTATCTGCTCAAGTTCGAGGTATTTCTTCGAACGGGTTCTGAACTCTTCCAACGTTCTCACTGGGTCATTATAGACCGACTTGGCTAACATGGATGCACCATCCAGCCCAGCCACGATGAGATGTCCATGGACGTTTTCTGGTAAACCCGGTACCTGTAGTGCAGCATCTTTAAACCGATTAAGGTATTTCTGGAGGGTTTCTCCGGGTTGTTGGCGTTTTTTTCCCAATGCGAACTCTGACTTTGGATGTTTTTTGCTGGTTGCAAAGTTCAAAAGGAACTGTTGCCCAAATTCTTCAAAAGACCCAATGGAATTAGCAGGAAGGGTTGAAAACCATGCCTGTGCGGCTCCCGTTAGGGTTATTGCAAATATCTGAGATATAAGGGGCTCATCTATTCCTCGAATGTATATGTCTATATCGAAAGCGTCGATATGGACCTGTGGATCTTGATTTCCATCATATTTCGGCAGTCGTGCCGAATCAAAGTCTTCTGGGAAGGGTGCATTCAAAATCTCCCCAGTAAAGGGGCTATTGTTATACTGCCCCCTGCTGTATTTCCTTCTGTAATGATCGGGTTCCACTCGCCCTCTGATGTTCTGAGCATTCTGGCTGTGTTGGATTCTTTCCCGGTCTACTCCACCGTTAGGATTTGCTAAACCTCCTTGAGCCAAAGTTAGCCCAGCTGCATTTTGGCCATCCATTGCCTTGTTTTCCAAACTCGGATTGACCGTGTTCACCAGGTTTGGTCTTTCATAGTTCTCCTCATCAGTAACATGGTTGCGATCACCTTCCTGGCCATTGGCATTCTGGCCTTCGTTTCTCCTTGCCCTTAGTCCGGTTACCCCCATCAAGCGTTGTTCCAAGTCTCTGATTCCCCTGGTGTTCTCCTCCCGTATGGCCTAAAGATCTTGTCGTCGCTGAAGGTTATTGCGATTTTCCATCTCAGTCATTCGTTGCATAATTGCAATGAATGCATTCTGAGCCAAACGATAATCTGGATCCTTATTGGGCCACATGCGTGGCCAAATCTGCAGGATGCTGGGGAGGATTATTTCTTACTGGGGTCGTGATTGGGGCTGCACCCCTACCATGATGTGTTGGAGTTGAGGCGGTGTCTGAGACGTCTTCACTGACATGGACATGGTCATAGTCCACATCGTTTCCTGGCTGGTGTTGGGGCTGGCTTACCTCTTCTAGAACCGGATCCAACGGTCGATTCTGATTCTGGGGCAGCTGGCCACTGCTCCTTGTTTGGATTGCCATCATTTCTCAGGTCGGTGGGAAACTCAAATTCAAAGAAGTAGAATTACCCACAGACAGCGCCAATATTCTGTCCTTGGGACAGAGATGTCCAGCCCAATAGGCTGGTATATTTATCTTGGATCTAGTGCCTTCTCTAAGGTATCTATGAAGGAGATACCCTTGAGTCAAGCAGATCACTGTGCACAGAATACTATAACGACGTTAGCCAATGGGGGTGTGTGCGCGCGCACAGTGATAGCATAACAGTAAGAGAGAGAGAGAGAGAGAGCGTACCGTACCTTTAGGGTTTACATTGTATTTATAGAGGTTACCTGTGGGTAGCGTGGATGGACCTTCTGGGCCCCTGATAGGGGCCCAGACCTACTTTCTATGCTGTCGTATTAGGATTAGTATCCTTGATGGATATTTATCCATGATTATTGCTTATTGAAATCTTAGATTGCCCCTTGTTGGGCCTATCACTTAATAGGCTCTTATATTGGTCCATAACAGTTTTAAACCCATATATATATATATATATATATATATATATATATATATATATATATATATATATATATATATATATATATATATATATATATATATATATATATATATATATATATATATATGAGATTAATCTTAAATCAAACGACATAACAATTATCCAGTTATGCCTATAACTCATATTATCACTCCAGTTATGCCTATAACCTTTATTTTACTAAAACTTGAAAAGATCTTCACAAATTCGGCCTATTTTGAACTAACTATAAAATTAATTTATTTCGAACTAAAAGCATAAAGGTTATATAATCTCCCTACCATAATTAGTTCTCTAAGATTTGAAAAGTTGCCTACCACCTCAATTTGTTTGTCGAAAGAACCAATTTTTAAGTATCATTACAATGTATTTATTATTGAAAAAATAAACTAATAACACGTAATACTTTTCAAGGACGAAAATGAGTGTTTAGTCTCCTTCTACTCTTTCATCCACGTGAAAAAGAATATTGCAAGTGAATATAGAATAAATCAGAAAAGTTCAAGATTTGACACCATCAATAGTTGCCTCTATTGGTATGGCCGAATCTTGGGTTTCTCTCCTAGAAGTGTTAACGGGCCGAGCCGAGCTTTGATCTTAAAAGGCTAAGCCTGTGTTTAAATGTGTCAGTCTGACCTAGCCTGTTATCTGTTATGAATATAATTATCGGCATGTGGTCTGTCTTATTTATAAAAAATAAAAGTCTTATTTAGCCTGTTTAAAAAAATAAGATAACAAAAACTTATTCAAACAAAATATATGAGCAACAACACTAATAACTTCACAAAGATTCATAAATTCAATGTATATCCAAAAAACATAATATAGAACAAAAACATTCAAAAAAATTGTTTAACCAATAAAATGAGGTGAAATGGGTTGAGGAGAGAGAGAGAGAGAGTTATTATGAATAGTATAAAAAGTCTAAAATAAAAATAAAAGTTAGTATACTAGGCCAGCCTGAAAGGCTTTGAGGCCGAGCTTTTCAATTAGAGTCTGAGACCTTTTTATTAAACGAGCTTTTATACAAGTTCAAGCCTAGTTCCAACAATCAATTTTAGACAAGTAAGTTCAAGCCTTCACGAGCCGAGCCTAAGGCCCCTGAAAGGCCCCTAGTTTGTTTAGCACCCCTATCTCCTACCATGAATTTTCGTTGGCATGTCATCAGAACAAAAACTAAAGGTCAATAATTAGGTAAAGGGTTTGTTTTTCTACAGTTACCGTAGATAAGTAATCTGTAGATAAATAATTTGCAATAAGTCTAATACGATGTCATTTTGGAGCGAAAATCATGGTGTTTTTATAATTTTAATTTATTTCAGGGTTATAATAGTCTTTATATTTATAATATTTTAAGATTTCAATACCAAAACGATATCGTTTTGGGAGTAAATGCAGATAACTTATCTATATGCCAACATCTTTAGGTATTTGTGATAATTATTTTTTAGTCAATTAGTTTTTTTTTTTTCAAAATTAAAGCGTAAACATAGCATATGTATTTTATTTTTGGGAGCATCTAATTTCATGTTGTAGGAAATACTCTTCTCATGTTATAGACCCAACATATGGTAGATCCCACCATGTGTTAAAAATAAATAAATAAATAAATAAAAAGCAAGTTTATCGATGTATCTACAACATAAGATAACTCTCTTCTGTCACATGAGATAATAATTTCCCATTATTTTTATTGAAAAACGACAGCACACATATTTAAAGAACTTTATCTAAATTTTTCCGTTCGAAAAATACGAATATCAAAATTTGAGCCGTTACTTAACATCCATTTAGTTGGGCGTTCAACGACTCTATGACCATATGTTTGAGTGGGGTTTATTGGGTCATATCCTAAATCATAATTAACCTAATTAAAAGGCACACAATTGATTAGTCCATTGAATCAAAATCGTACCTACTTGCCTGACAAGCATTATTCTTCAAATCTAATTTTTCAGCTTGTATCAATGACAATAACTACTTAAATTGAACTGTTGTTCTATTACACCAATATATTAATATTGATCTCTAGTAGTGGGTCTCTGATTCTCATCCCGTGATGCATGATGAGAATAAAATCAATCTGTTTATCATATATATATCCAAAACCTAAAGTAGACTAAGGAAGGAAAACCCATGAAATATTACAGGCTACACATGGTAATATTCATATATGGTTGGTTAACCTCGTGTTTGTGTAATCAATTTGTTGCGTATTTAAAAAGAAAAGAAAAGAAAACTCTGACTAACATTCACGACTAATTCAAACCCTTTATACAAAGACCAAAAGTTTTATGACATAAGTTGTTCCTTTCAAGATACATTTCAAAAAACAACAGAAGGCAAAGAAAAAGAAAACGACATACTTGATAAAAGCACAACAAAAAGAACATAGAATGACAGTAATTTTTGTGTTTGCATTTTGACGAGAGAGAGAGAGAGAGAATTTTGTTAGATGAAACAATTGGAAAGATTATTTTAGTGAGCTTGTAATAGTTAATTCGCATGGTACCGAACATTTCCTATGATGTTATTCGATTGATGTCTTCAATTACGGTGCCGTTGTTTTCGTCATTTGCATGTCAACAAGAGTTTTTATATTTCTTTAGAAATATTTAATTCACATACTCGTAGTCTCTGAAGGATGAGAACCAATAATGTAACATCTAAGGCCGCGCCCGGAATTACGTCCCAGGTTCTTTTAAGCGCGTCCAAACCTCAAATTTCATTTACTAATCATAAACTAAGTGATTTTGATTTCGTAATTTATCAGTATAAAATTATGATGTTCGGAACCTTTTGGTTTTTGACCTAAGTATTTCCATAGGTATTTATGTGAAATTAATTACATTATTGTATGACTTCTCTAATGATAATATACTTTAGGAATACTTTAGTTCAGAAAACAAAGATATTTCAAATATCAAAATTTAGGGAAACACTATCTGGATATATATATATATATATATATATATATATATATATGGGTTCGCTTTTTCTGCAGTTACTGCATATAAGTTATCTGCAGTAAGCTCAATACGACGTCGTTTTGGGACGGAAATCATGGTGTTTTTGTAATTTTAATTCATTTCAGGGTTACAATAGTCTTTATATTTATAATTTTTCAAGATTTCAATACCAAAACGACGTCATTTTGGGAAAATTGCAGATAACTTATCTGCAGTAACTGCAGAAACACAACTTGGTAGTAAATAAATATAACCGTTGGATCAACATAATCAATCTAACGGTGAGATTGATTGGTAGTCACTTAGTAGTAACACAACTTGGTTGTCACAATATCATTTCCCTATATATATATATATATATATATATATATATATATATATATATATAAAAGATTAAGTTATATCTTTTCACTTAGTAATAAATTATTGACCTGGTCTAAAAAATGTCATAATAAAATATTGGGAGAGGTTATATTTACTACCAAATGAATTTATCATCTCTTATTATCTCTTTTATAACTATCGGATAAAATTAAATCTACGAATATTATTTGATACAATTTTTTTTTCTCTTTTCAACCACTTCCCTCATTATCTCTCTCACTAACAAGATAATAAGAAATGGTAAACTTACTAGATAAGTACAACACTCCTTTAAAATATTATAATTATTAAATTTCTTTTTTTATTAATCAAAAAAATTAAATTTATCTTTTTAAGTAATAATTAATTTTAAATATTCTAATGTAAATTGATTAAAATTTTTAATATAAATTAATGAAATAGATTATTTAAGATCTAATTATATAAATAACAAAAAAAGAAATAGACTAATAAACCAGTTCAAATAGTCCACATTTCACATAAAGTAAAATTAGCCAACAATTCATAACTCGAATCGAGAAAAGTGTGTCATTTTATATGATGTAAAGTTGTGTCATTTTAAGAGGGAGAAAGAGATAGATAAAGGAGGAGAGACAGTTGATAAAAAAATAAAGATATGGGTCACACCTCTTTTGTGAGAGTAAAAAGATATAAGTTGTGTCATTTAAAAGGATAAACACTTTTTCCATTATAATTAACTCGCTACAAGTCAATTCACATTTAGCCGAATTTGGATCAAACTGAAGGTGAGATGTTGTAATTTATGCAATTATTTCATTAAACAATTTACCCGAATTTGGATCAAGCTGACGTGAGATGTTGTAATTTATGCAATTATTTCATTAAATAATTCTGAATCCTCTTAACAAATATTCTTAATCATCTTTCTAATTATTAAAGGGATAGGTTATTCTATTTACTATTTTTTCTGTCTACCTTTGTCTACCACCTTCAACACCATTAGATCATAATCTCAATAGAAAAGAGAAATGAAAAATGTAATTGAAATTCTGATCTAACAGTGTTGAGAGACGGTAAGTAAAAGTAGACAAAAAAAAAAAATAGATAGAATAATCTATCTCATTATGAAATGAAGAATATCAAATGCCTTTTATGTCAATAAGATAATTTTATACAAATAACGGCAACATATAACCCAAATTACTCTTTAGTAATAGAAAGAACCTTTCAGTTTAGGTATAACAAATATTAATTTGGGTTCAAATTTTGAAATTTATGAGAAAGATCCTTTACGCCGATATCAAACTTTAAAATTTGACAATAAATCTTAACCATTGATTTCCACCAATCAACGGTTATTATTTATTAAAAATCAAACTTATTAATTAATTTTTAATTTTCAATAAATGATAAATTGACGAAAATCAACAGATAAAATTCAAAATTTGACACGAGCTCTCTCTCTCTCCTAATTGCACTCGGATCCCTCTCTTTTATAATTCATCCAACCTCTTCCCCTTTTTTGGGAAAAGGGTTAGCTAACCCTTTAATTAGGGAACCAGATGCAACCCATGGAACAGTGACTGATTCTTAAAGAACATAATTGTAACCAACAAACACCATAACATTAATCACACGAAACAACAGAAAGTGCTACCCGTAGGTCATTAGATGTTCCACATATATACATTCTGTAAGTTTCAATTTCTTGTTGAGAAACACTACCACTACGAGCTGCGTAGTGATTACCATCCACTCTATCACGCAGCGAAAAAATAATCTCCCTGAGGATTGGTTCATGACCATTGAGAAGATTGCCCATGCTTAAAACCTTTCTCCAAGACTGGTTAGCGGTGGGAGGAACAAACATATTTGACAACACTTCCCTCTCATGGTCCCTTACTTCTTGTTTCTTGTCAAACTCCTATGCAAGAATACAAGAAAAGATATAGGAAATACATGTCAGTTCAATGCTTAGGAAGACTTTCGGTGGAACATTACCCAAATTAACAAGATATTTCAAGGCATATAAGCATTTCACCTTCTCGACAATTTGCTCTGTCAAGCCTGTTCCCTTTGTTGGAAAATAAAAGTCGTAGTAATCACTGAAAATTTCTCTGGATAGGCGTGGTGCTCGTAAAAGCTTGCGATGAAGAGAAGCTGCAAGAGTCACTAAATTCTCTACACGTTCAAAAACAACACTCAATCGTCTTAAGTCTTCAATAGTCTCACTGTCTGCAGACAAGCGATTTACTGCAACAAAATGGAAATGAGTTAAAAATTGTTCTTTTACACAGAAGAGAAAAATTAATAAATAGATACCTTGCAAAGGCCTCAAAGCAGATGCCATGGTACGGTAAAGTTGCTGCATCTCAGTCACCATCGGTTTCAGTTCTCCGTAACTAGTCTGACTTAAAGTGTCGGCTGCTGCTCTGAAGGCAGTACACACCATTTGCTCAACTAATGCATGTGGTTGTAAAGTTTCAAGATAATGAAGAACCTGGAAAATTGAGAATATAAAAATTAGACTAGTTAACAAGAGAAGCAGCATATCTCAAGCAATCCAAATACCTACGAGTAATCTTTTTCCTTTCCACACAAATATGCAGTAGCAATTTAATATGACAATATAAATATTACTTTGATGATTTGATCACAAGAACATGTTACAAGTGAGCTATAATAACTTAAGCTTTTACGTCTTTCATGCATGGCCCTCAGCTTATCTATTCGGAAACCCCTCAATTAGCTGAGTAGGATTGCATTCCAAAGCAAATCTTCTCATATAAATATGGATCAACCCTATCAACTTTGATTGCAATGCTCCATGAAATCAGATAAACATCATGCATTATGTATTATTTTAAGCCTTTGACTAGAGTATTCCCACAGACATTGCTGTGAGACTAACCCCTCAAGCAATGCCGCCAACACTGGCCTTCTCTTGGGTTAGACCTCTCCCTAGTGTGCAGCTCACTAACCACCGCACCTAACCCTTGTTATGCATGCATTGTATATGTTTGTTGGTCCAAAAGTAAGCATTCTAATCCTATTACCTTCTGTCAAAAAAACTACCAGAAAAAGATGTCATTGCCCCTTACCCAAAGACCATAGTAAGTAATATCTAACCCCAAATACGAATACTAAATACAAAGCCAAGAAAAATTGTTGAACGTTCTTGCTTTCTGTTCAGACCTTTTGAAGAACCCAAAGAGAAGCCATATATGCAAAGGACTTGGAAACTAGTACTCATCAAACACTGTACAAAAATAAATGTTCGGAGCATTTTTTTCCCACTTGCATTGATAGTTCAAACTTTTGCAAGACTGAGTAAGACACGGAACTCCCATTTAGAGCGGACAGGCATCCCTTGGCTCTTTATCGACTTCGCTTTTAGGAGTGGGCTCTTTAGATCAAAGTGGCAATGGAGCTTAGTTTGTCCTCCCGATGTTGATGGCCGCTCAATCTAACTGACAGAAATGACAAAGGAGCATGAGCCCCAAATTGACTGGGTAGGTCTCAAACACGGAACTCCATATTAAAGTTGAGGTTTTCTCCTCCTATCAGCCTGGCTTTAGGATTGAGATCACTAAATCAAATTGACTTACATTTCAAGCTTATTGTACCTCAATGGATAATCATATTTAAACTCCCTATTTACGAAATCATGTGGGCCATTCTGTCGGTTAGGCCTAGTTATTCCCAACCAGAGAGGGTTAACAAGGGTAGTTAGGGAAATTCCAACAGAATGAGTTAGTTAGGTCATTGGGATTATAGATCGGGCTAAGCGAATACATATAGGGTAATTAGATAGTAAGATGAGAAGCAAGGCCAGAGTTAGGAGAGTATTGTAGAGGATTGGCTTCCCCTTTCGCTGACCTGGATAACTAACTAGTGTTTGAGAGGAATCTTTACGGTTGCAATTTTAGCATATATAGGAGAATAGGAATGATACGAAATGCAGGTATTTTCTGAGAATTGGATTTGGGACTTTTGGGAAAGAAAGCAGCCTCTCGAATGCTAATGGTTTGTTTTTCTGTATTCTCAATCTTGTGTAATCATTTTCCCTGTAATTTTCTATATGTCCATCGTTGTTTGTACATTTTCCTGGTTTTCTTATGGAAATCAGTCTTATTAATACATCCATCATTTCTCTTTCTCTTAAAATTCTTCTCCATTGTGACTGGAACCTAACAGAATACAAGTAGGGCAATTAGATAGTTAGTAAGAAGAGAAGCAAGGCCAAAGACTAGGAATTATCTGGAGGTTAGGAGAGTAGTGAGTTTCTACCTCACTCATCAGGAAATTCTCATCTATTCGCTAAGGAGAGGAATTCATCAATAAAATTATTCACATTCACAATATTGTTAATTTCTTCGAAAATTCTGTGACTCATTGATTATCAATAAAATCTTTATCAGAGCTAATTTAACATTTTCATGTGGATGCATTTCGTCCTATTTAACACCATTCTCCTTGCTATTAGCAAACACGGGTCAAATTCATATCACCAACAAGAAAGTGAAGATGATTACTGCTAACTCAAGATAAATTCTAGAAACTGCATGGGCACAGCCTCCTATTATCATTAAGATCCACCTATAGGATCCATCTAAAATGAAAATTGAAGAAATTGCTACAAAGTTTTAATGGTTCAACTGTCCAATCAACATGACAAACCAAATAACAAATCATGCTATTCTAGTATAAATTTCCCAGAGGCCATAACAATCTGTTTCACAATAACAATAACAAAAACAAGAAAAAATTAAGTTTCTTGAAAAATACTCACTTTTTCTCCTTCTCTATTTGGATCGAGAAGAGGCTTCTGTTCGGAAGCCGGAAGAGCAGGTGTGCTATTCCATATCTTTCTCCATAAATTTCCATTTTCAGACATTCTCTTAGAAAGCCGCCCTCGTGGAGGCCAACTATCTTTTGACTTCTTAATGTCAAAACCACATGATTGTGATGATCCACTTCCCTCAGGGTCATCATCCTCTTCCCAATCCCGAGGTGAATGCCATCGAATAAAATCTTCAAAAATAGCATCTGGATTCGCTGCTTTAAATGCTGACATATCTAATAGCATCAAAACCATTATTGGTCTGTCACATGTCTTACGATATTGAAGAATCTTTGCATGCACTATTAACTATGAAGGAAAAATGAAAATAAAAGTTCATTATGTACATGTTCCATGTGGATCAGAATCCATTGACACTATCAAAAAACTAAATTAATGTTGCACCATTCCACAGGTTTTTTATACAAATCTAAGTTCACTTTTGGATTAGAGGTTTCATTACGTAGATCATGCCTGTAAAATTTCTTACATTTGAAAACAAATTTGTAGTTTGTCAGTTTATTTACAAAAATTAACAAACAATATATTGTTGACAATAGAAACAATTATCAAATGTCAACTTTTTTTTACTAATTCCCCAATATGGTGTGGTAAACATTTACTCACGATTCATAAATTAAATTGATGAAAATCTCATCCCATTTAGCTAGTGGTGTTCGTACATAAAATATTACACCAATCATGAGCATTTTGAAAATGTGAGTATATACATTTAGATTAGTTTTTAACATCTCAAACGTCTGCTTCCAGAAACAAGTGTTGACAAAATTTTCTCAGGGGAAAAAAATCTTGAGACATGATTAGTAATTATCCAGTGTTATTACAAAACATTATATGCTATTACCTGAAGTTAATATATCCCTTTCCAGCTGAGCAGAAAAATTCTGCAAAAAATAAATAAATAATAGGCAACGCTAAGTAACAAAGTAATATACGAAATGGAATATAGATCAATCCTAAAGTGTGTTTTGTTTGAGTAATAGAACTGCAAGCAAAATATGCATCAATTAACCGAATTGAAATGAGAATGAAGCTACGAAAAGTTCAAGGCTATTTAGTCACAAATCACAACATTGTTTCTATATTTCATACTTCAATTTATTACGTCTATGTTTGTTTCCTAAAGTCCTCATAAAGTGAAACTAAGGGAACCAAATACAAAAATAATAGCATGTATAACGGTGCATAAGAAATTCCACAGCTTAGTCTCTTCATTTTATATTGTCAACCACCTGAAAGAGGTTTGAATTATCCAAAGAAATTATCCACTTATCACGTCACATAGTATATAACACAATTTTTAATCCATGGTACAGTAACCTGTCTTTCTACCAAAAGTAAAAGAGCTACAAATCAGCCACAACAATTAACAGATCCACCTATCACTGACAATGGTGGTTAATTAAGAAAGCAAATGTATATGCAGGTATATGAAAACTTTACGATTGGTGAAAAAAAAATGGGGATCAAATGAACATATCGCATTCAAAGATAAGGAACAATAGACATCTTCCTTTTCCAAGTAAAGCAATGCTTCTTTCACAGCAACAATGCTGTAAACTTGTGATTACAGCATTATCAATTCAAAAATATTAACTAGTGGTCAGACTACTCAAGTCTGTAAAGTCATTATACACCAAGCAATTGGGAGGCTACTGCATCACAGGCACAGATAATTCAGACCACCTTTACAGTGCACTAGTGCCTGTGTCAATAGACAGGCTCAAGTTGGTTGACAACTAAAGAGGCTATGCTCCTGAACCTATACCACTTTAACACTAATCATATCCTTACATTTAACCTAATTAACTGTTCGATGTAAACACACACAAATTGTATGTATGTATGAGAGGTCTATGTGGTCCAAGTCTCCAAGCTTTTATAGTCCTGATTATTATTATATGCATTGCATATGAGTTTGAGCTTACAAATGAATCACTAAAGGCTTCAACAGCCTGAAGCCGCTCCTCATGCATGTCTTCAGTCATTAGTGGTGCTTCCTGTATAAAAGCAAACAAGATCAAAAACATTATATACTTCAAAATTGGTGAAGTGGTGAAATTGTACTATGTCATGACAATGCCAAATGGTGCCTGGGTGTTGGAGAAACCTGTGTGTATGGGGCATGCATACTCTGATATGACTTGAGAAGCATCATAGAATCAACAATACCAGCTGAACCTCTCCTGGTGAAGTCTGAAGATTTTTTTTCATTAAACAGGCCCGCATCTTCAGGCTTGCTGCTAACAGTGGACAAGCACAACAGATAAGTGAAAAGGGATATAAAATGATTTTTAGCATCAAATTTAGCAAAGGACATAAGAAGCATATTAAGAGTTAATGCCTCATGTGGTCTGCACACCTGCAATAGATCATTTTGATTCTATGGTGTACCAAAGAACCAAAGCCTAATGTTTCAGGTAACATATCTGACAGTCTGCTAGTCCAAATTTGTTAAAAGTTGAACAGAAGTATGGGAGCTAAGAAGCATAATTATATTCAGAAGTTTCACTAGAATTTTTTTGAGGTTTCTGTAAAAAGTAAATTTCGAAAAATATTAAGTGAAAGAGGGGGGATCATCAAGCATAGCTATAAGATGATTAAAAGAGGAAAAACTGTAGGTAAACGGAGTCTCCATGGCCATGGGTCATAATTCCTACTGACATAAAGAATATGTCATCACCACCAATTGTTTACCTCAATGGAGACCAGAGAGATAAATCATATAACTGAAAAACACACACACACACACACACAGAGAGAGTCCAATATATTGCTTGTGCACAGTGTGCAACATTCAACTTCGACGTTTGAGTTCCATTCATTGTGCTTTAGTTTTAGATAGTGTAAAGAACCTTGGGATACATCACCCCAAAAGTTAGCTCAAAGGGTGAGAGTGCCCAAGACCTTATAAACTCCACATTAGTTGCTCATACAACCAATGTGGAACTATATATCTCAACAGATAGTAAACTCTTGATCAATATATTCATGCAAACGGGAGTAAGTCAGTGAGACTTTAACAGAAAAATACTACAACCTAAATCGTAACCCTAACCCTAACACACGAGCAATATAATTGGACAACAAAATCCCAAAACCCACATAACACTTAAGGCACACAAAATTAAGTTTAAGCTACTTAATAGATTTTTGTTACTATGATCAGAATCAAAATAAAAGGAAATCACTCAATTGTCTGTCAACTATCAGTTAACCTACACCAATTGGTTACAGGATAAAATGATGATAGTTTCTGAATCACTGGATTTTTTTAAGCCACAGATATCCTCCCTCGGTCCCTCCTTTCCCAAAGGAGCACTTCAAGGCTACTGAATTTCTCACCCATCTATGCCAGCCAAATAGATAAGCACAATGAACTACAATAATTACAGCTACTCACTTTTTGTGGATCATCTGACAAGATCACAAAACATTCTCATATGCAATAAATCCAAACTAAACCCCTCTCTGTCCCTCTGTTAAAATAAAAAGCCCAAGAAAACAACCACCAAAAGCAAACAAGAAAAAGGCAAAAAGGATCCCCCTTGCTTAACCTTATTTACCTATAAACAAATTAATTTATTAAATATGGATATGCACATATATAAATTTAGTGAAAAATTTAATTTAGCTAAGATCGGAGGTGATTGGTGACATAAAAATAGAGAAAACAGCTATAAGGGAATGTGTTGTTATCTAATAAGCATTAAGTAACTTGATTTAGATGATAATAACCGAGCAGGCTCTCACTTGCTAAGTTCACCTGTCAACTTTCCCAGAAAAATCCTCATTGGGTGTCTGCACATTGAGCAAGTCATCCCCAACTACACTTTCTTCCTGCAATTCAATTAAGATCAATATACACTCACAATGCAAAACATGCTATAAAAAAAGTAACTACAGTGATGCAACAATCAATCTAACAATTAAAAAGAGGAAAAGAGATTTATGACCTCAGTCATGGAGTCCATATGATCCACAGTTCCAATACAATCTTGATAATCTTCATTCAGCTGACACTTTTTCTCAATGCATATTGCAAGCTGAATGCAAAGCAGAAAATTGCATCACCTCTTAACCTTGTCACTAAGTACTCTACAACATAATAAAGACCAAAGCATCCAAGCTTGCTGAAATATTTCTATTTCATTCTTATAACTTATCCAGGGGTAGAACCAGGAATGTAATTCAGCCACATACCCTGTGATGGGTCTGTATTATGGTTGGAGAAGTACATATCAAAATTATCAACAAATGTATTTTTGCAATCAACATTCTAATCAATGACACTAAGAGAACAAATCTCTCCGAACTGAAAGGAAAAGTGAGTTAAGAATATTTTTTTTAAAGCTTGAGTTAAGAATTTTCTAGAAAACAAAAAACAAAAATCAGCATTTAACAAAAAAATTTGTCTAACATATATAAAGCAAACAAGCACACAATGATTAGATTTCACATAAGATCCTTTAAAGATAAATATAAATTACCATCTGGAGTTTCTGATAAATCAAACATGTAGAAAGGTCAATTGATCCATTAGCTGGCATCCGGGGTAATAGTTGTGACTCTTCCCAATACCATCTAACCTCTCGAACAAACTCTAACCATAGCACAGCAATAGCTAACAGAGACCAAAATCAAGTGATACAAATTTCAAATCACCCGTAGGAGATCAATTTGTTGCTGATCTCTTTATTATAGTTATGCAACAAACAAACCCAAATTACTTTTGGTACATACCACGTATATTGCAGTTGCCAAACCAAAGAGAATGTAAACAAAATTGCGCAAAAAGAGATTCAAGGGGTGCGCCTTTTACAGCCCGAGAAATCTTATATCTGCCATCAGCAAAATCTGAGAATTGTACACCTGCAGACATTACAACACTGATTATAGAAAATAGTGTAAAAAGTATCAACATCGAGTTTTCACAAGCAAATATACCAGCATGCCTTGCAAGGAACCCCAAGGATACTTGAAATTATTCAGTGTGAGAGCAGTAAAAAGCAAAGAATAATAAGTTTTAGATGTAATAAATAAAAGAGAGAATAAAAAAAGGAAAAATAAAAATCTTTCAATGGATGGAAATGCTCCCCTGTTTATTATGATTTGGATGTGAGATAAGGAGACTCCCAGCCACTTAAATTACTTTTACATCATTTTAATCGAAAGAAATAACGAATCACCCACTGAATAATGTCTATCGATGCATATATCAATTGTTTCATCAATTCATAGAGGTCTTCATGCAATGCTATTTTCTCACTATCCAAGAATAACTAGTTTCAAATTAGAAAATGAAAAATAAAATAAAAATCACACTGGAGGCCCTTTCTTCACCCTTTTGTGCCCCAAAGTTACTGATAACTTGCTCCTTTGCCAGACTTAATGACCATAGTATGGGTGTAGATTCAGAATCTAATGGATAATAAACTGCCAACAGTTTGAGTACAAGATATACAACCAAAAAATGAAAGACACAATTTAGGAGGCAGAAGAGCTAAGTACCCTCAATAAACAGTTCTTTCAGCACACGGTCTCTAACTGTTGGTGGGGGCATAACCATTGAGGATTTCAAATTATCAGAACCTGGATTTTCAACTGCTACAAGCCAGAAGAGGGGAAAATGTTGAACCATATCCAAAATTAAATAGCATTCTATGAAAGATAAAGCCTGCATGAATAAGTAAAATAAACCATAGAATGCACCAAAGCAAATTCGAACCTGAGACAAAATCTTCCATAAATTGTGCCTCAAATGACATTTGCAATGCATCAACTAAAAGAAGTAACTGGGATGTAAATCCAATCTTATTCCCTTTGGAATCTTCAAGGCTGATGTATAAAAATAATAATAAATAGAAATTTAACTTCCGTAAATTATTCAAGAAACACAATAAATCAAACTTTGATTATGAGTTTTAGTAGTAATTGCATCTAAAATAAATAACAAATAAATCTATTTATAGCCACCAATGTTGTTAAAACGTAGAGTCTACGCTGAAACGGTAGGGGGAAGCAAAAACGTAAAATCGAGAAACGTAAACGAAACGTAAGAGTTTACGACATACCAAAAAAATAAAATATATCATATATATATATAACCAATACACACCAATACATGAGTCATCACAAATTTAAGTGCAAACACTAAAGGAAATAAAAATTAAGTTCAAACACAGTCATCATAATACATATTAAAATCAATACACCTAGGTAATAAAATCATAAAAGATATCAACATCTCAAAACACCAAATGTGTCGTGAGTATAAAAGTGATATTTTATTAAATTGGAGTAATATTGATTTAGTTTTGCTCAACACCATGCAATAAAATTGAAATCTTCCTATTACTTTACTGGAATAAAATTCTCAGTGGTTACATAGAGTGAAACATACGTGTAAATTAAATTTGGATCATTTTTAATAATAAAACATTGTTTAGATTTGAATTAAAATTAAATACTTCTACTTTCAACAATATTTATAAAAATTAAACACGGTCAAATATTTCTACTTTCAAACAATATCAAATACTTTAGGAAATTCAATATTTCTTTTATTATAAATAAAAAATTAGATCTGTATTAAAATTCAAAAATAAAAATTCAAAAATTATAAAAATTCAATATTCAACTATATCAGTATGAAAGGATGGTGGCGTGTTAGATTTGAAGAGGATATGTCACCAATACTTCTATTATTAAAAAAACTCCGTACTGTACGAAAGCAAAAAAGGAGCAAAGAAAAATGAGCAAGAAAGAAGAAGTATGTGCTCTGAAGAAGAAACAAGAAGAAGAATGTGCTCTGAAGAAGCAAGAAGCAAGAAGAAACAAGAAGAAGAATACCTCGCTTGATGAAGGAGAACTGAAGAAGCAGCGATTTTTTTTTGTTTTTGGGGGAAAAAGCAAGCAGGAACTCAGCAACGCGTAAGCGACATTGAATGAGCGGTAGGGTTTTTTTTTGTTTTAAGTTGGGGATGACGTGATTTGACAAAAATACTCCTGTTTTTTTTTTAAAAAAAAAAACTGAGTCAACTCGGTAAACTCGCCGAGTCAACCGAGTTTACCGAGTTGACTCGCCATTTCAACCGTTTTGATCCAAAATCCGTTTCAACTACCGTTTTGACACGTTTTTAGTCATAAAAACGTAGAAACGGTACGTTTCGACACTACATTTTTACAACAATGATAGCCACTACCATTAAAAAAATAAATCTTAATGCTTTTGTTAAATCAAGCAATTATACAAGGACCTTAAGGAAATGCTTTAAGAGAGGAAAGTAAAAGATGGAGTAGAACCTATCTAACCATTATAAGTGTTATAAATTGTTAGAGAAATATAATATAAAAATCATTAATCTAACCTCACCTAACAGCTTAAGCTTTTAGATTGAATTAATTTTTTACATAGTATTAGAGCCTCCGTGACCAAGTGGCTACAGGTCCAATCCTCAACACCCCCCATTCTATTAATAATAAATTATTAAATATTATGAAATTTCTTAGCATAGGTTGGTGGGGCCTACGCATTATCTACCCTTCAAGTCTAATGGGCTCTTATTTGAGGGCGTGTTAGAGAAATATAAGATTAAAAACTATTAATGTAGTCTCACCTAACAGTTTAAACTTTTGGGTTGAATTAGTTCTTTACATAAACATTTAGTTTGATGCTGAAGAAAATGAAAATTCCAGATAGTTGTATTTATAAAATTCTGGGCACTGAACCTGATTACTATTCATTATATACTTTGAGCGGCAGATAGTCAATACTAACATAAGCAGCACCTAAAGTAACTATCATCATGAGAATTTTGGTTTCCAATATACAGATAAAAAACAAACAAATTTGGAGTGGACCTTGGAGAGATCAACCACTTCTCAGCTTCATGAGGTGAAGCATTTTCCAGTTCAGCCATTTCCATAGAACTCTCAACCATCTTTTCTGACCATATTGCAATCAGTTCAAAACCTGCATACAGCCTATGCATAAATTAAATGGAACTGGCACTGACATTAGAGGGTATCATGAAAATAATGATTCTTGGAGAGCTTTTACTAATTAAAAACGAAAATCTGAAATCACCAAAAATATCCCTAGTCACCCAACAAAGTTCTCAAAGGGACAAAGGAAAGTAAAGGAATTTGGGGCAAAGGTCAGCATTGGGGTTTAGATATGCAGAATGAACAAAGTAGATATAAATTATAATGTCCTCTATTTTCCAAATATTATTTATCCTTTTGGAAATGCATGCCGAGGGACCAAGCTCATAAGGCACTCTATTATGAAGCTATAGGAAAGAGTAATAGAGAGTAGGCTCAGGCAAGAGACTTGAATATCAAAAAACTAATTTGGTTTTATGCCAAGGAGGTTAACCATAGAGGTTATATGCCTATTGCAGAGTTTGACGGAAAGATACAGAAGGAAACAAAAAAAACTTGAACATTGTCTTTATTATATAGAAGATGTCCATGATAAGGTGCCACAAGAAGTCCTGTGGAAGGCACTACTAGAGTTTGTATAGCATGTATGTGAGCTATAAATGATATGAGTCCCGGAAACAACTAGTGCGTGAACTCATGGAGGCATAATGATAGGCCCCTAGAACCTTTTAATAAATATTATAAAAGCAGGAATTGGGCCCAAATGGATGGAGATATCAACATGGTTCAATCTGATGATATGCGCCCAGTTGAGGGAGGAAATATTGAGACGCATGAAGAAAACAACAAGCAGCAATCAGTTACGAGGGAGGCCACATGGAACGCTGTGAATGGAGAAAGCAAGATGGGCGAGGGAGCTGTTGTGAGTGGCGAATAAACAGACGGTTAGAGTGTAAGGAGGGAGGGAGGATTATTGAGTTTGTTAGGAGAGGTAGCACCTGGACTTGGTGTCTAGTGGTGGGTAGGAGGTGTCTGGTACGTTTGAAGGCGGATGAATGTGAATAGTGAATTCATGAAGTCTGTAACTATTCATTGAGAGTCTTGTATTTTCTGGCATTATCGTTATAGTCGTGTCTTCTTTTGTTGTAAGGGGCTGTGTTCTAATGGTATAGTTGGAGATGTTCTCATATTGCTTTCTGTCAGTATTGTAAGGGATTACTCCCAATTTACTATAATCAATAGAAGTAATTGTCTCGTTATTGTACCACCCATTTGCTGTTCTTATTACTCAGGTCATTGAGATTTTTCGTTATTATTCTTAAATATAATTGGTGCCATTACATAACAAAAGAGTTTCCTATAACAAGAGGCTTGTATCAAAGGTCTGCTTTGTGTCCATACTTTTTTACCGATGTATTGGACATACCTGGTAGTAAACATATCCAAGAGGCAGTACCTCCATGGATTTTTTTTTCCAGATGATAATATCCTAGTTGATGAGTTCAGATACGAACTAAATTCAACAAAGTGATAGGGAGATTGACGAGAATATTACACATAGAATTCAAAGCAACGGGAGGGGTTAGGTTCTAATACGATACTACCTTTAAGGGGCATTTAGGGAAAGCTATTTGGATGAGTCAGCAAATGAGTTGTTTCGTGTGACTGAAACAGAAAATGGTTAGGAAGAAATGGAGGGAAAAGCTAAATAAGTAGTGGAGGGCTGCGAGGAAGGGAATCATCTTGGATCTGGAATAGGCTTGGAACTTGGGAGAGTCTAGCGCCTCTCGAATTGCTCTAGAACTATCTTTCCTTTCTGCATTTACTTCTTTTCTTAGTTGTAATTGAGTCCCTATGTTATTGTTCTTCCATTGCTGTAATTAGGATTACTTGTCTATGTTATTATAATAGTTTTTCAGAACATTGTACGGGTTGGTCCATTTCAATATACATTTCTGGAGTTGTTGTTGTAAATGAATTACTGGTCTCTATCAATTTGGTATCAGAGCTCTTCGATCTAGGGGGGTTTTGAATCACACCAATCAAAAAAAAAAAAAAAAAAAAAAAAAGAAAAGAAAGAAAGATGGAAAACAGGGCTGAAGGATTGGAAGAGAGACTTCGGAGCAGTGAGCAATGTCAGGAAGAGCTTGTACGTCGGATGGACGCTAGTGATGCTAATCAAGCCGAAATCGTCCGTCAATTAAGGGAGCTTGAGGTTGGAATTAATCAGATCCAATCTGAAGAGTTTCGAAATGTTCGAAACCACAGGGACAGAGGCCCGAGGGGGAATGAATCAGAGGGTTTTCATGGAAGTCTCATAGGAGCTAAGTGCGGTGATTCGAGGAGAAGGGAAAATGCTTATGAACCTTTATATTCATTGAAACAAAAGCGGACTGTTGAAGAATTTCGCAGTGAATTTGAGGCGGTGGTTGGAACCATGAAATTTGCGGAAGAAGTATTGAAAGAAGCGTGGCTCAATGGCGTAAAGGTTAGCATCCGTGACGGGCTTCTGCTGAATCCAACGTTGAGGCTAACGAACATGATGAAGATGTCCCTGAAAATTGAGCGCTGGAACTTAGCAACTGTGGAAGAAGGGTGTGGATCTACTGGGACGACATCGTTTGGGGCGAGGGCTGCAATGACCAAGAAAGTTGGATTGTGCTCAAATACGACGCGGCCCAATGGAAGTGGGGTGGGTGGGTCATTTGCTAAAGGGGACCAAACTTACCAAACTAATGTTGGTAATGTAACCCTAATCCCCAATCTGCTGATTCGAAAGGTATGGGTGCGTTGAAGAGGTTCACATCTCATGTGACGGTGGCGGGTAACCAGCAGACGACGGAAAGTTAAGGGACTACCAGTCGACCGCTAACGCAGGCGAAACTCCAAGAACGACAAAACAAGGGCTTGTGTTTCAAGAGTGAGGAGAAGTGTAGCTTGAACCACCGTTGTCGCATCCGGCAGCTGCAGCTCCTGATGGCAGACAAGGACGACAAAGTCGAAGATGAAACTAGGAAGCTGCTCACGGTCAATGCTAATCCGAAACAAGGGGAGGGGACGCTTCAGTCGTCGATGCCAAGCCTCATGGGGTTCTCTTCAAGCTAAACAATGTGCCTATGGAAAAAAATAAAGGGGAAAGATGTAGTGGAGATTGTGGACAGTGGTGAGTCTCACAGCTTCAAAAGTGAGGAGCAACAGAATCCGAGTCACAAGTGTAAGGTGGGACAATTGTTGATGGTGGATAAGAATGATGAAAGCGAGGCTGAACCAAAAGAAGAATTGACCATTTCGACAATGGGTCAGAAAAAAAAAAGATGGGGTTAATAGTGCTAAGGAGTACGTGAAGACGTTGAGAGAAATGGACATTGATAGTATAAGTCATAAGGATAAGGAAGCCATATGTAGTACCTCAGCTGCAGTTTTACATATGAGAAGCTTTGAATTTTCTTATGGAAAAGAGAATTATGCGTCAATAATAAGGGATGAGAAATCAAGATTTCATTTGCAAACGGCTGTTAATCTTTTCAGGTGTGAGTTGAACCTTTAGGTAGTTACGTCACGTATCCGTTCAATACAAACCCATGGAGGCAAAATTGACAAATATCTTGATTGTAATATTGCTATTGCTGGCCGGGGTGCTTTGACAAAAGCAGTTTATGTTCATTTATTTGATTGGCTTATTGATAAGATCATTAAGTCTGCTCGGCAAAATATCAACCACAAGGTGCAAGTTGGCGTTTTGGATATACATGATTTCAAGGGCTTTAAGGATAATAGTTTTGAATAATTCTTTCTTAATTTTGCAAATGAAAAGCCTCAACAACATTTTAATGGGCGTGTATGCAAGATAGGCAAGACGAATCAAGGAAAGAAGAGATTAACTTGAGTGATATTGAACATAAAGACAACCAAGATATTTTGGATTTGATTGAAAACAGTGCCCTATTAGATAAAGCTTGCTTGTTTCCAAAATTTACACAAGAAACATTCTTCAAGTTGCAGGTCTATTATCCTAATTCAGTTGGAGTTGCAGAAGAGGCACAGGATTTTGGTGGGAACTATTTTGCTTCTTGCATAAGTGGGTCCTTACAATTCAAACAATGGGATACCGGTGGAATTTTTTTGTGTGGGCTGACATGCACCTTGAGGACAAGGTGCTTAAAAGAGGGGGAGTATTGATACGATACTATCTTTAAGGAATTTGGATGAGTCAGCAAATGAGTTGTTTGGTGTGACTGAAACAGAAAATGGTTAGGAAGAAATGGAGGGAAAAGCTAAATAAGTAGTGGAGGGATGCAAGGAAGGAAATCATCTTGGATTTGGAATAGGCTTGGAACTTGGGAGAGTCTAGCGCCTCTCGAATTGCTCTAGAATTATCTTTCATTTCTGCATTTACTTCTTTTCTTAGTTGTAATTGAGTCCCTGTGTTATTGTTCTTCCATTGCTGTAATTAGGATTACTTGTCTCTGTTATTGTAATAATTTTGCTGAACATTGTACTGTTTGGTCCATTTCAATATACGTTTCTGGAGTTGTTGTAAATGAATTACTGTGGTCTCTATCAGGTTCCTTTCTCAATTACTTCAGAATGTAAGAAAAATGGTCTCCAAAAGCAATATAAAGAAAAAGACAATAAAATGAAGAATAAATGCTGTCATCCTGCAGTCAGTTCTCTATAAATTGTTATTACATGGTAGTAGATATTTCATTATTCAGTTTTTTAAAGATATGCACTAGAAGTTATATTGATGGCTTCAGTCTAACTCCTAGCCAGATGGCCCTGCAAGCCTAAAATAAAAGATGTCATCTTTCTGACTATTTCAGTGTTTTCACTGTAACTCTCCTAGCATCTTCTCCAAACTATCCAAGTGATTTGCCATTTGCACACTTGCAGTTCATTTATTTGTTAAGAAGAGAATTTTAAGAGGCATAATGGAAAGAAAAGAAGAAGTGGAAGAAGTGTTTTATCTAAATAATACTTTCTTGATTCATTGAGAGACCCAATGGGTCCTTTTTATATTAAGGACATCCAACTACCTCAACTACTTTAATAAATATACAACCGCCAACTACATCAATAAATATACAACCACCAACTACATCAATAAATATACAACTACCAACTAAATATACAACTACCAATTACATCAATAAATACTATCTAGAATATTCTACATATTCTACACTCCCCCTCAAGTTGGGAGATATATATTGATCATTCCCAACTTGCTGATCAAATTCTCAAAGGTCGGCTTAAGTAATCCTTTGGTGAGGATATCCGCCGTCTGTTCCTTGGTAGGTATATATGTCAAGCATACCGCCTTCTAATTTCTCTTTGATAAAGTGACGATCAACTTCCACATGTTTTGTTCTGTCATGATGAACAGGATTTTGAGCAATGCTGACAGCAGCCTTATTATCACAATATAATCTGATAGGTAGGGAATAAGAGATCTTCAACTCCTCCAGAAGCCTTCGTAACCAAATTCCTTCACAAATACCATGGGCTAGAGCCCGAAATTCCGCTTCTGCACTGCTTCTTGCAACAACAGTTTGTTTCTTACTTCTCCAGGTCACAAGGTTTCCCCAGACATAAGTACAATATCCTGAAGTAGATCTTCGGTCCATTGCAGAGCCAGCCCAGTCTGCATCTGTATAGATTTCAATCATCCTTTTGTGCCCCTTTTTAAAGAAAATTCCTCGACCTCATCAACATAAACGATCAGAATAGCAATTCTTCCTTTGTCGGAGTGTTTAAAAAATAAAGTGTGATCAGTCTGAGCTTGGGTGAACCCTCTTCCCTTAACAGCTTGAGTAAATTTCCCAAACCATTCTCTGGGGAGATCACCATTCAAGAAGGCATTCTTAACATCTAACTGTTGCAATGGCCAATCAAGGTTGGCGGCAAGAGATAGCAGAACGCGGATAGTGTTAAGTTTGGCAACAGGAGCAAATGTCTCCTGATAATCTATCCCATGAGTCTGAGTAAATCCCTTAGCAACTAATCTGGCCTTATACCTATTGATGCTATTGTCTGCATTGAATTTTATTGTGAACACCCACTTGCAACCAACAGTTTTCTTTCCTTTAGGTAATGTCACAAACTCCCATGTTCCATTTTTTGTAAGTGCATCCATTTCTTCTAATACTGCATTCCTCCATTTTGGGTCATCAAGTGCTTCTTGGATATTTTTGGGTATCCTGGTACTATCTAACATAGTGTTGAAAGCACGAAAACCTGGAGACAACTTTTCATATGAGATATAATGGGAAATAGGATGAGCAGTGCAAGATCTAGTACCTTTCCGAAGAGCAATAGGCATATCAACGTTGGTTGTACTAGTACATTCAAGTGGGTTGCTGGAACAAGGACTCGAGTCAGGATCCTGGCAGTCTAGAGTATCTTCATGTGTTTTGCGCCTGCTGTAAAATTTTCCCCATTTACCAGGAGGATCACAAGGAGGATCATTAGATTCAGGTATAGTTGCTCCCCCTGTTTCCTTCCCAATAACTCCACCTGTTTCCAAAGGCCAAGGTAAGACAGCAACATCATTTGGTTTCCCAGGCTTATCTTCATCCATACCAATACCAATAGACTCCCCCTGAAGAGAAGTCGGGGAAAAAAAGGATTGTGTCTCATAAAAGGTAACATCCATGGAAACAAAAACCTTACGGAGAGAAGGTGAGTAACACTTATAACCTTTTTGATTAGGGGAATATCCTATGAAGACACATCTGATGGATTTAGGGTCAAGTTTGGACCTTTGATGTGGAGGAATATGCACAAAAACCACACAGCCAAATATTTTGGGAGGAAGAGAAGAAAGAGCACTGAAAGAGGGAAAAGATTTAGTAAGACAGGATAAAGGAGAATGAAAATTTAGTACCCGAGAAGGCATCCGATTAATGAGATAACAGGCTGTCAAGACGGCTTCCCCCCACAGATATTTAGGGACATGCATCGTGAATAAAAGAGCTCGAGCAACTTCAATTAGATGTCTATTTTTCCTTTCAGCCACCCCATTTTGTTGAGGGGTGTTAGGACAAGAACTTTGATGAATAATTCCATGCTGGTTTAGGTAATCTCCAAGAACTGAATTAAAATATTCAGTACCATTGTCTGTTCGCAGAATTTTGATAGAAGTCTGAAATTGAGTTTGAATCATAGCATGAAAGTTTTTAAAAGTGGATGCTGCCTCAGACTTATCTTTTAAGAGATATACCCAACATACCCTAGAATGATCATCAATGAAAGTAATAAACCAACGAGCACCCGAGACATTTTTTTCACGAGCAGGTCCCCAAATATCACTATGAATCAATGTAAAGGGAGAAGATTCATGATATTTCTTAGGAGAATAAGTGACACGAGAGTGCTTTGCAAGCTGACAAATATCACAAAGAAGGGAACTTGGCTTTTTATTGATAAATAAGTTCGGCAATAACTTCTGGAGATAAACAAAATTTGGGTGTCCCAACCTACGATGCCATAACAAAACATCATTACAGTCATCTGATAAACATAGAGAGTGGTTCGAAAAAATCCTCTTTTCACAATGAACATCTGTAAAATAGTATAGCCCTTCTTCCTCTCTAGCACTGCCAATCATCATCCCCGAGTCCTGTTCTTGAAAGATACAAGCATTTGCAGAGAACTTAGCAACACAATGCAACTCAGCAGTAAGTTTGCTAATAGAGATGAGATTACAAGTAAGAGAGGGAACATGAAGTACTGAGTTCAAAATAATATGCTCAGAAAGTTTAATGGATCCCTTTCCCGCAATAGTGGAGAAATTCCCATCAGCTGTTCTTATTCGTGACGGGTGATAGTAAGGGGTATAGGAGAAAAATAAGGTTGCATTACCTGTCATGTGATCAGAGGCCCCTGAATCAAGGATCCAACGATTACTACGTTCAACATGGAATGCCATACCTTTTTGAGCAACATGACTAGTTGCCTCAGCAGGTTGAGACATCAATTTCTGAAAAGACGAATTTTCAAAATTTTCAACGTCCATGGTTTTCTAACAACAGGTACCCAGAAAAAAGTTATCTTGTTCTGAACCTAATGGTGGCCTTGGTTTCATGGTTGGAGGTGTCTAGGTAAGGATTCTGGCTTGGGCAGTGGCTAAAACGAAAAAAAAGGAATAGGAAAATGACTTAAAATTAAATCAGAACGAGGAAGAGACTGGAATATAACCAGCTCTTGATACCATGAAGAAAAGAAGAAGTGGAAGAAGTGTTTTATCTGAATAATACTTTCTTGATTCATTGAGAGACCCAATGGGTCCTTTTTATATTGAGTACATCCAACTACCTCAACTACTTTAATAAATATACAACCACCAACTACATCAATAAATATACAACTACCAACTAAATATACAACTACCAACTACATCAATAAATACTATCTAGAATATTCTACATATTCTACACTAACATCAAAAGGAACAAAGCAAAGCTTACAGCTTTTTCGGAAGGCAAAGGTAACTCATCAAAAACTCCCATATTGAGCCTTCAAAGTCTCCCCACAGCATGAAGATATAGATTAACTCATACTAGCAAACCCACAATTCTAACTGCAATCCATAAGTACAAGTTAAAAACATAAATAAAATTCTCAAATTCATTTAATACAAATCATGTACCATCTTAAAATAAAAAAATTGCACCTAAATGAATGAAAATAACTCTCTAGATTTTAACTGGAAATGAATCACTAGAATTCTTATGCAAAATTACAAGGTATTAATATATAACGTAAGACTTCAATAAAACATAGTTTAAAACAAAATTGGAATAACAAAAACAGAAAAGATCAAATGAAGATAAAAGAATTGTCAGAAACTTCTCCTACAAAAGACTATCCTGAACCAAAATAAAAGGTTTTAAAATCCAAACAAAAGATATTGTTTCAACAAATATAATAACATTCCACTCAATTCATAAAGTTGAGACTTGATACTGAAACCTAAAAAATATTTAAAACACATAGCACTATTGTTCCACCAACCAGCAGGATAATGCATAAGAATAAAAAGCAAATAAAAGAAGAATATTACCAATTTATAATTGTTCTGAAATATAACAGATTTAACAGCCCAATCTAGTTCCACCAAAACGAATTGATTGAAAAGTCCACCACCCCCCCCCCCCCCCCCAAAAAAAAAAAAAAAAAAAAAACCTGAAAAACAGTTCAAAAGACAACAGCTAAGTCTAAGAGGTCAAACAAAATGGCCTTAAACTTCTTACTAATACTTATCCTTAACAATTTCCGGGCACCAAACCAAAGAGTGAACATTAAAAGAAAAATACCTCTTAAGTCCAGCTCCAGAAGCACCCAAGAGGAATCAGTGTTATTACTTGAACTTCAAATAACCTGACATTCACGAATTCACAGCATAACAAACAAACAGCAGTAAATGAACTTAAATTCAATACAAGTAAAGTAGCATTCAATTTTTTAGCACTTAACCATAGTATTAAGTATTTTAAAATGCCTATGTCAAAAAATAAATGCACAACATAATCACAACTCTCTCAGTCATTTCGCAACAAAATAAAATTTTTAGCAATAAACTAATCGTAAGTAACCATAATTATTTCCAGTGCAGTTTCTGACGATTATCAAGATTCAATCAGCAGAAAGCACAAGAACTGATTGATAATCACACATTTGCTTTTCGATAAAAATTAATAGAGCGTAATATCAAAAGGACCTAGTAATCAACGTATGATCAGGCATTGTTTCTGTTCATTGTTATGACGATATCAACTAAAAAACAAAAAAACTAGATTCAACTACCACATACAGAAGTAGATCCCTGATTTCCGTCCTCACGCATACTTCACTTGAGCTCTTTAGTAATTCACTCACACGGAACAAACTACAAGGTCCTATAATACAAAAGCATTTGACAATTCAACGCTTAAAACTCAGGAACGAAGTAATAGTATTCTGAAATATGCATGTAGGTTCGAAGATCTTAAGAGTTAGGGTTCGAATCGAGATTCAGTGTGTGCTCGCTAAATCGAAGGTTTTGCAAATCGAACCTGTAGCCGTGGGAGGAATGAATCAACGAACGAAAGCGAAGAATTCAGAGTGACAACGACGCGGATGGGAGAGAGCGCGTGACGAAAAGGAAAGAGAAGAGAAATTCAGGAATAACAATCATATCTTTCACGCTTTTTTAATATTTTTTATTATTGTATCGAATTTTATCTTAAATTAAATATAAAAATGTTCGCATTTTTTTTTTCATTTAAATCATAGGTCATAATCAAGTACTTTTAAATATTTGCTAATAAAATGCATAAAAATTATTTATAAACCTAAGTGTTCGATTTTTATATAAAAATAAAAAATAAGTAAATTCATTCATACGTAATTTTGAAAATAAAATGATAATTGATATTTTGTCATACCAAGTGGAAAAGTATTCTTAGAAAGGAAAAGTCTTGTATCCCAAAAAAAGAAAAGAAAGGAAAAGTCTTAACATGTAAATTTATACGTAGTCTCATGCTTAAAAATATAACAAATATTAAAATTGAAAAAAGTACAATTTCAGAAAGACAAATTACGCGTTTTTACAATTTGATAAAATTACATTAATGTTCAACTTAATTTTCAGAAATTACAATGACCGCTCTTATTTTAAATTTTATTTAAGAGTAAAATATGTGTCATTTTAAAGGATGTAAAATTGTGAACTTGTGTCATTTTGAGTGAGAAAAAGAGATAAATCATGAGAGAGTGGACAAAAAAAATAAAAGTATAGGTCCCATTTCTTTGTGAGAGTAAAATAACATAAGTTGTGTCATTTAAAAGGATAAATATTTTATTCTTTATTTAAATAAATGCTACAATCGACATATATAAGAAATAATTTTTTAATCAAAGGTAAAAAAAAAGAGATGGGAGAAAATGGATTTTATGAGTATAATGTTACCTGACTTAAGAAAAATTTCCAACACACTTAACTAAGAGTCGAGGTCCACAAATTTTTTTTTCTTTAATTATTTTACTTTCTCTCTCCTCTTTATTATGAGTATGGAAGAATTTTCTTATATCATGCAACATTATACTCACGAGAAAATTGTAAACTTATCAAATATAATAAGAAGTTAACATATTCAATCCATCAACATCCACATCAACTATATCTTTACCTCAAATTAATTGGAATTGGTGATAAATAAATTCAAATAAAATATACAAGTTAACATATTCAAGAATTAAAAAAAAGTACTATTATTACAACAACAACAAAAAAAAGTACTGCTAGTGCATTCCTTGCGAATCTAATCTTTAACAAATTCTCGCTTCACTATTTATATTTTATTTTTTTTTTGGTTTTCCAAAGTATCCTACAGCCGACAGCTGAAGACTAATTCTTTCGAGGTGGGAGATCACAATTAAGTAGCTCTCCCAACAAAGCTTTTTCCATACGCACGGTCAGGGATCGAACCACTGTCAACATGCTTAAGGAACTCAGCTATCTACCAACTGTGCTGGGCTTTATTGGTCTCTATTTATATCTTACTCGATGGAATGAATTTGTTTTCCCAATATAAATAAATCTTCTCATTGTGACCCAATCAATATTTATTTATATATATATATATATATATATATATCTTTGTTCAAATACCCTGTTGTTTGCATTTGAATCCCTTATCCTCGGTGTTTTTTATTTTTTTATCATTTATCTTTTTTTTTTGGAAATACAATGAAAACTAAAGCAACATCAAAAAAAGCCCTATACTGGGCACAATCTTGGGAGACTAACTCCCCTCAAGTCATTACGAAGCAATTCCAAACAAGCCGTTGGAGGGACATCCAGCACAATCAGCTGTCCATCCTGATGAGGTGCATAAGTAGCAAGCCAATCAGCAACAAAATTGCCTTCTCTATAAGTATGACTAAGCTGAATAATCCAGTCTCTTTGAAGCATGCTACGAGCTCGGATGATTAAAGCAGAAAGAGGATGACTTACGTCACACCCTTTTCTTATAAATTCCAAAGCCACCTTGGAGTCACCCTCCACAAAGACTCTCCTAAATCCCTTATGCCAAGCCAGATCCATACCTGTCAAGAACCCCCAAATTTCCGCTGAAGTAGAAGTACCACTCCCAAGGAATTTTGTAAAACCAGTTAACCACTTCCCAGCAGCATCCCTTATGACTCCACCACATGCAGTCCTTTGCCCACTGTCTATACTGGAACCATCCACATTAAGTTTAACATAACCCTCAGAGGGAAAATTCCAGTGAATAAGACGTTCATCTCTTCTAAGCTCTTGATGACCAATCTTAATAAGGGTTTCATTAGCCAATTGAATATTACCACAAGTATAGGTAATGCGCCTAATGAGACCATACTTCGAGGTGATAGTTTGATCAAAGATCGCCTTATTTCTTTCCCCCCACAAACACCAAGCTATCACCCCAAAATACAAAGGCCAAGTTCGATCAGTTTGAAACGGACCTTTTAATCCTAGATTTGTCTGAATCCATAGGTGAAGATCCATGGAGAAAAAGTCACTACGGTTATCAGAAGGAACCCAATGCTCCCATAATTCCCTGGCACCAGGACAATCTCTAATGGCATGTAAACTATCCTCAAGATTATAATGACATCTCAGACACCCTGCATCTGTAGCCATGTGACGATGCACTCTATGAACATTAGTTAAAAGAGAACCTCTGTATAGAAGCCATAAGAATTGTCTAATACGTTCAGGACCAGGCCAAGCCCAAATTACCTTCCAAATCCTATCCTGATGATAATGCGAGGTACCCATGAGATAGTTATAAGCTGATTTCACTGAAAAAAACCCCATCTTGGCTACCTGCCCAAATAACACGGTCCGGAGAAGGATCCACTGTAGGAGGGAGCACACTACGAATCTTGTCTAATACTGAAGTAGGAAGAAGGTGCTGAAATAAAGGCCAGTCCCAATTACCATAACAAGTTACAAATTGAGACGTAGACCAATGAGTCATAATAGGAGGAATAGGTTGAACGGCCAGAGAAACAAGTTGAGGACATCCTCGCACCCACGAATCCATCCAAAAAGACGTATGAACCCCATCCCCTAAAATGATACGAGAATTCTCTAGAGTTTGAGGCCAATACTTAACAATAGCCTTCCATAAACCAGAATCATTTGCGGAAGCCGAGATACTTGGAATGAGCCTTTCCTCCACCTTATACTTGCTATGAAGGACCCGAACCCATAACGAATTACGATCAGTCATGATTCGGTGACCTAGCTTCATGATAAAAGCCATATTATTCTCTTTAATTTTACGAAAACTAAGCCCCCCTACCTTCTTCGGCAAACAGACCGTCTCCCAAGAAACCAGGTGAGCTTTCCTTCGTTCAGAAGTTGATCCCCAAATGAAATTCCTAGTTACACTCTCAATACGATCACACGTACCACTAGGAATAATACAAGTTTGCATAGGATATTGAGGAATTGCAGTAAGAACTGACCTAGCCAAAGTTGATCTTCCTGCCAATGAAAGAGTACGTTGATTCCAGGCATTTAAACGAGCTTGCATCCGATTTAAGATATAGCCAAACGTACTCTTTGTAACACGGCTATGACGAAGAGGAATACCCAAGTATTTACCCAAGTCATTTGTAGGAGAGTAGCCCATCAACTGGCTTAGATTCTGCACTCGGGTATGATTAACGTTTCTGGAGAAGAAGACTTTTGTTTTTTCCTTGCTAACCTTCTCACCAGAGCACCTGCAAAAACAATCAAGAATCTTATTAATAATAACAGCTTGCCCTTCTGTGGCTTCTGTAAAGAGCAGAAGATCATCTGCAAAAAATAGATGGGAAAGCAGTGGTCCCCTTCTATTCAATCTGATAGGCTTCCAAACGTCCTCTTGAACTGCTACATTAATCAAATGAGCAAGTCTTTCCATGCAAAGGATGAAAAGATAAGGAGACAAAGGATCTCCTTGACGAAGACCTTGATTAGGAGAAAATTCTGTCGTAGTTGATCCATTCTATAACAAATTCATTGTACATGACGAGACACAACACATGATCAGAGAAATAATATTCTCAGGCAAACCAACATCCACAAGCGTGTCTTTCAGAAACTACCAAAAAATCTTGTCATAAGCCTTTTCTAAATCAACTTTGACAGTCATCCAACCCTTATCTCCTCTCTTTTTATTCATGGAATGGATGATTTCCTGAGCCACAATGATATTATCCGCTCCTTGTCTACCCTTAACAAAACCACATTGATTAGGCATAACCAAGTGAGCCATATGAAATTTCAGCCTATTAGCCACAATCTTAGTTACAGTCTTGTAAATAACATTACAAAGGCTAATAGGTCTGAAATCTTTAAGTAATTCAGGCACATCAATCTTAGGAATCAGACAAATCAAAGTTTGGTTAACCTCTTTGATATTATCCGGATGAAGGAACACACCTTTCACAAAAGAGATAACTGACTCACCCACCTTATCCCACTGAGATTGAAAGAAAATAGCATTAAGCCCATCCTTCCCAGGCGACTTGTATGGACCAAAAGAGAAGACTACATCTCTGATCTCCTTACTGTTTGGCATAATACTCATCGTGTCTAAAGCATGTGCTTCAATAACTGGAAAAAAGCCACGAACTGGAAAAGTCGGTTTAGGTAATGGATCTTTTGTGTACAGATTTTCAAAGAAAGAAACAGCCATTTCCATTAAAACCTGTTGATCACCAATCCAAACTCCCTCAGAGTTTTTCAACGTATCTATGTGATTCCTCCTACGTCTGGCAACCGTCACAGAATGAAAGAAACGCGAGTTCCTATCTCCAAGAGCAAACCAATTCAATTTCGATCTTTGAAACCAAGTAATTTCCTCTTGAAGATAAATCTTGTCTAGTTCCCTCCATAGATCCTTTTGCAACATCTCAAGGCTATGACTGTACTGATAACTAAGACATCTATCAATACCTCTAATCCTTGCATACAAATCATT